CCCAGGATCAACGGTTTCTCCCAAATGTTTCTGGCTCTCTTGAATGGAAAACGGCTTTAGCGACTGGAGTCGGGCACCCAAGGTCCTCTCTGCTACTGGCGGAGCTATTATTCCTTGACTTTTTGAGCAGACAAAAACTAGAATATAGAAGCCTAACATGCGTTTATCACAACCCAGATCACAGCCACACTAGTGTTATTACTTTATCTCTTGCTTTTCTGTGTCTAGCTCCTTGCTCATCGTCCAGTCTTGCCTCCCACGCCTGTTCCCAGTCTGCGGTGATGGCAACACAATCCATTTGCTCTTATTGGTATACACCATCACCCCTAATGTGACTTGAAGCTCCTGGTCTTTGGGTGTGCCCCAAGGGAATGGGTTTTCAGATTACCTTGTTTAAGACTTTGTATTGGCTAAGTCAGCGTCTGGATAGCACTGCCTTGGGCCTCCCTGGTGGCGCAGGGCTTCAGTCTCAGTGCTGTCAAGCTGTCTACCACCAGCTGCTATGGCATGAGTTCAACCCCCCTGAGTTCAACCCCCCTGAGTTCAACCCCCCTGAGTTCAATCCCCGGTCAGGATGCTGACCCACATGGTGCAGCAGACCTCTCCTTTCTCACCCACTGCTCCCCTCAGCAGTGGATTTCAGTAGATCTGCTTGTTCTGTCCCCCCTCTGTCTCTGGTATATCCTCTCACCCCTGCACTTCTGGCCTGCACCCCAGATCTTGTATGCATAAAAACAAGAATCTGCTTAGGTTCATTTGCTTCTTTACTCTCAGGGTGAGGGATTGCTTTTTAAACTTTGAATTGTAGAATTCCTTGTAATGTTTTCACAGCTCTGAAGCCAAATCAAAGAGGCTATTTCTTGAGAATGCTGCTGTCCTCTCCCATCTACTCCACTCCCTCCCTCCAGTCATTGGTAACATTGGAGACGAACTGGGGTTCGCCTCTCATGTTGTGAATGATCTCTCTGAAGGTTTATTTTACCTGCTGTGCAGAACAAAGGGTTGTGGTTTCATCGTGGAACCTCAGGACTTGGGTCTCCAAAGGATGTTCCTTGGATGCAGGGGTGTCACCCCTTGAAAGCCCTTGGGGTGATGTAAGCCCTTCCCTGCTACTCCGTGACCCCCTCCAGGCTCAGAGCTGCTGATGGTACAGGGAGCTGCATTGTGGGTGCTTCTGGATTCCAGAACCTTCTAGAGAGAGGGAGCTTCCAAGCACCCATCCCAGCAGTGCAGAATGCCATTAGGGCACCAGCAGGCACAGAGGGCCACGGCCGAGTGCCCCTCTACGTCTAGGACCTCAGTCCTGACTTTTCCCCTTGCGCCACGGCCTTCCCGCCATATATTCGATCTTCCTCAACGCCACCTTTGCACTTTTCACCCACTTCTAAAAATGAACCGGTAGCTTGGCCCTGGGTCTGAGAAGGAAAGAGCACTTTTACAGGGGAGCCCCCGGACCTCGGTGGTTGCAGGTGTGGGGTCTGGGGTCTTCTCCTGCTGGCCTGGTTGACTTCTAAGTTATTCCTTTCACTCACATTTTCTTCTTGTACCCTGAGGAAAAGTTAACTCACCCCTTTCTGCTTACTCGTTTCACTGAAGCATGTTTTCTGTGTCTTGTGGCTTGTTTTTATTTCCTGTTTTTTTTTTCCCCTGATCCATCAATCGGATGATGGAGTCAACAAGAACCGTTTCCAGTACCTGGGGAAGGTGTTGGAAGACGCTGCCCCTGGGGGGGGACCTTTAGCCTCTCCCTCGTAATTAGATACCCCGAGAAGCCAGGAGTGGGCCCCGCATCAGGCCAGCGCATCAGGCCAGCGCATCAGGCCAGCGGGAGCTTTGAGGAGGCTGCCTGCCTGCTACTCCATTTAGAACCAGCTGCCTCAGAGACTCTGGTAGAACCTTGAGCTGTGGGGGGTGTCATGGCCTCCCGTTGGGGTCTTTTAAACACCCCTGTGGTTTCTGAGCTGTGAGCGGTTCCTGTGAAGAAGCAAGGACTCTATTCCCAGTGGCTTTGGGGAAACACTCTTCACCAGGCCAGAAGTCTCTGTCAGAGGTGGCGTGTTGGTGTGATCTGCCTGGTTTTGGATCTGTTTTGGATCTGCCCAGTTCTTGCTCTTCAGGACAGTTCAGTGGGCTGATCGACAGCTTTGCTAGTGAGCATTTTTGCCCTTGTTTAACTCTTTCCTAGTTGAGGGCTAAGATCTGGGAAAGTCGGGGTCATGAGCTAGCTTCACCCTTTTGTTCCTCCTATTTTCTCCCCTGAGTAGTTAATGCTGCTCTAGCAGCAAAAGCCTTAGGCACCCATGACCCTCCTCTCTTTCTCTGCTCTGCTGGCTCCGTGTTCTCGCGGGTGCGTGAGCTCGTGAGCTCAGTCCTGACTGCCTTTAAATACGACACTGTGTTCTGTTCCAGTGCAGAGCTGGGCAACAGGCTACCGTGGTCTTAGAGAAGCTTGTGGTGGCTGGTGTTCCCAGTGGGCTTTGGTGGGGGGCTGCCCTTGGCCACAGCTGGGCTGGGACTGCCCCTGTGTACATCGGGATGTCCCACTTCTCTGTGGAAGCCCCCGCTTACCACCTCAGTAGATAAACAGTCTGTTTTATAACCTACTGTTTCAGGCTCTTTTGGAAGCTCGTAAAGCCCCTTCTTGGGATGAGTGACTGGGCAGAGCTGGCCCTGTATCAGCAGCGAGCCTTTGTGTTTTGATCTGATCCTTCTAACTCTGATCTAACCATCTCCCTCATCATTCTTCAGCCATTCCCCCCCACCATCCCCAGTGCTGAAAACTTCCATAACTCACAGAAGATGAGGCGTTTGGTGAAGTGTGTCAACTGTGTATACGCAGCAGGACAGAAGGTGGGATTTAAGCCCCGCCATTTTGAGGAACTGGGCATCTTTCTGTAAAGATAGAGATCTAATTGGTTGAGAGGAAAACACGTGTTCGTGTTGGTCCATGCTTGCTTTCTTGGAATCTCCCTTCCTCCTCTGGTACTTTCCTTGCTCCCATCAAATGGACAGGAGAGATCTAAAGCAACCAGTTAGCTCCTTACCGTGCCGTGGGAATCTGAGGGTTTCAAGGGGGATCTGTTACACAGGAGTGTTCCTGAAATAGTTCCAACTTTCTGGCATTTTGGCCTTTTGAGGACATTGGGGGTGTGGTGAAATCTAGGACCTCTGCCTTGACTTGGTGATTGGCCTTGTGGTGTGTGTTTGATTGTCTTAGTGCAAGCGTGCGTGCTCAAGGACACAAGCGTGTTGCACAAGTGACTGACCAGAGGGGCAGACGTTGCTCTTCCTTGATGACCCTTTTGTCTTGGGAAAGAAAATGGCTTTTCCTAAGTCTGTTTCAGGAGTCAGCCTCATTGTCTTCACTCCCCTGCCCCACTGCTGTGGGGTTTTAATTTTTGCCTTAGGGAACAGGTGATCAACCCTGCAATAAATTAGGCTGTGGAGAACAGCTGGTGACAGTGTGGTTTCACTTGACTTCTGCTGTGCTTCTTTAATGGCTGAGGAGAGACAGGGCTCGGTCTCCCTGGGATGTGAGGGGACAGAGAGACCAAGGCCACAACCCCTGCCACTGAGAGCTGGGACCCCCCAACCCCCAAACCTGGTTCTTCCTCATCCTCCAGCAGAAAGGACTCCTTTCTCCAGTATCTGCCAACAAGTGGCATGTAGGCTGGGAAAGGGTGGGGGGTTCCTTCCTGCGCTCCACCTGTCAGGTGGCTGAAGTTACCAAGGCACCCAAGGGAGAACGAGGTGCCTCCCTGAAGGAGCATCTTGACTGTCCTTTGGACTAGCATGCCAAGAGTGCAGAAGGAGAAGTGGGTGGGCTTGTGCTGGGTGGTTCACTCGGCACCTCCCACACTCTCCCTGCGACACTTGGTTCCTTTGTCCGAGGTCTCACTGACATGAGGTGTTACTGTCTTTGAACTTGTCATTCGTTTTCTGGCTCTACTGGAAAGAGAGACGCTCTGTTTTCCTTTCAGATTAGCGGTGAAGGTAGCATCATATCAAAAATGCCTTTGCAACACGCTCATACTTTTTTTTGAAAAAGATTTGTTTGATTTGGTGATGGGAAATCCAGGGGATTGCAGCCTAGATGGAAAAATGCACAAAAATATGTAAAAATAAACTATTATAAATTTAAAAACAAAAACATAGCCCCAGTATAAAATATACTTGTATGTCCTCCAGCACTTAGACCTCTGAGATAAATTAAGGTTGCATGACTTTGAATTTCTCACACACACACAC